GTTTTGTTTTTGGTTTTTTTTCCGAGACAGCGTCCCCGCGGGCGGTGCGGTGGTCTGAGCTCCCCCGGGGAGCCCGGAGCGGCACCTGGGAGAGAAGGATGGCACCGGGGGGGGGGGGAGAGGGAGGGCGTTAATAAAGCACATTCTTCGGGGAAATCAGAACGACGAGGGGGTACGACAGAGGCTGTAAATCTGATATGTTGAAGCGAGCACAGCTGCCTTGGGGTTTTTTTTGGTTTTTTTTTTTTAAATCGTAGGGCTTTTGTCAAGCACCAAAATCTAGATGACGGTAAAATTCAATCCAGAATGAGATGGTCTACAACTGACGCGTCACGTCAGCCCTTTCTTAGCTGAACGGCTGTACTCAAAAGTGAGAGGCAGCAAAAGCATGTCCTGATGTCAAACGTTTCCTTCATTTCTCCTCTCTCTGCTCTGGGTTTGAGGATTTTGTCCACCAGTTGATAACAACCCAGGGAAATACTGTAGCATTCACACTGTACCTCCTTTAATAGGTATGGAAGCACAAACAAACATGGACCCACACTGGAATAATGGATTTTGGTTCCGTTTATGACAAGTACCCTTCGATTTTGAGCTTCCTTGTAGTTCAGGGTATTTTTAGTTAAGGTTTTAGTTTGGGCCTCTCTCTGGATTGGGAGGCTAGCAGTATTTCCAGTGTGGTCATAATTCTGATGATCTGTTTGCAGTATAACACTAAATCTCTTAAAAAATATTCTGTTTTTCTGTTTTTGAAAAATCGTGCATGCTTTCAGTGTTTGAAATAAAGACAAAATCAGTTGGGTTCTGTTTGCTTAACAATTTCAATAGCTCTACCAGTGAAGTTACAATTTATTTGCTTGCCTTTCTGGAACACAGGTTGGCAAACACAACAGTTACCTGTTTACAGTCTTTAAGGATTTCTCATAGCAAACAAAATAGCATATTTAATGTGCCATAGTTTGGTGCCCAAATCATTCTAACATTTGTGTAGGAACTAGTATATGAAATGGTGTCAGAAAACCAATTCGCAGCTGGCTGGTCTGCAAATGATAGGTTTATAGACAGCTTCCATTTTAGATGCAGAATGTCCAGCCTCCTAT